GTCCTTTCCGGGCCATTCATATCTCAAAGCAATGGGGTTCACCAAATGGCCCAACGCGGTCGCCAGAGATCCGTCAAGGAATATGTCTTTCTTGATGCCGTGCTCGGAAATATACCAGTCTAGAAGCTCTATCACGCTTTTTGAGAAAGCGACGAAAGTGGGCTTCTTGGAATCACTCTCTGGCGACCACTTAGATAGGGGTGAATCTGCCAGTTCTGCCAGACATACAACGATGCTCGACTGCGAATTGCCATACGAGCACAAGAGCTTCAGACATTCCAAGAGCAGCGTCTGTACCTTGGACGGGCGGTCGATATCCGGAGAGTAAGGCGGGGATATCGAGTTCCAGGCAAGCAGTTGAAAATGTCCAAGGATCTTCTTAACGCTTCCATCTTCAAGGTCGTCCTTGTAAAGACGATATATCTGTTGGAATGCTTGAAGATAGGCCATCGCAGCATCTTGATTCGGTCTATCCAGATTGAGCATATCTTCCCGATCGGCCGGGTGACCATTCAGCCACAAGAGCCAGGTTGAGCGTAGAGACTGCTTACTGAACTCGCCAGGACCCTGTATACGAAGAAGGGTGCTCGTCAGACTGGAGTAGGCAGCTTCACTGAATTCAAGAAGCCGCAAAGTAAGCAGCTTCTCATAGTATCCCAGCAGACGCTCCCATGACTGATCGAACAATTCGTCCTGGACTATCGTCCCAAAGAAATTCGTAATCAGATCAGATGCTCCTTTGACCATAACGACTGTTGTCTCAACCCAGGCCTTCGTGCTATCAGAGTGGTCGGACTTATTCTTCTCCAACGTCAGGCAGAGCTCATCTTCTATTTCCTCCACCATACGGAACAGAACTCTGTTAAGACACAAACACCATGCCTTGGGAGACAACTGTTGCCCGTAAGCATCAAAGATTCTCAATAGAGTCTGGATAGCACAATTTCGGACCTCCGATCGGCTATCTGTTGTCAAGTCTACTATCCTGAGAAGGAGCAGTAGCCACAATGCATTCCGGGATATCGAGGGGTCATCGCCCTTGGCGAGGTTCGCAAGCGAATCCTCGCTCACGGAGGCATCAATGTGAGATTCAATGCAGAATTGCTCGATTTGTCCTTGGAGAAAGTCCGAGACGTTCCAGAAAGATGAAGTAGTGGTTAAAGAGATGTTGAAATCTTGCTGCTGTTGAGCAAACTTGGAAAATGATTCCACCAGGTCCAATCGACAAGGTAGTGGAAGCAATGCAACAAAGTCGGAGGCTATCAGTTGTAATGATTGATAAGCAACCCGCACAAGTCGAACGGAATCCGCTACCCATCTGGCCTGGCTTCTTGCGTTCGAGTTCCCGGATTTTTCATTCTCAACCCTCTCACCAAATACACTTGTAATGAGGTCGAAAGCAAGAGCCCATCCCTCCACGAATGTCTCGCCATATTGTTCAAGGATGCTCTTGAGGGTTTCCAGGCTCTGTTCATGAATTTCAATGACTGAAGCAGTGGGGAAACCGATCGAGCAGCCGCTCGCTTCATAGAGCAACCTAATCTGCATCTTGAGCGCTTGGAGATTCCTGAGCTGTCGTTCATTTTGCTTCACAGAATCATCGCCAGCTCTTTGCGCCATGGTCAGTGTCACAATGCTGTTCAGCACCTCATTCGCCCTAAGCCGAAACTTCTGGCTGATCGCTCTGTCTGCCGCAGTTGACATCAGCCTGGTAGTGAGAAGATTCCAAGCGCCCAGGTCAGACTCAGTCAATGAAGACAGTCGATCAACGTTTGCCAGTGCTATCTCGTTGGCTTTCTCGAGCACAAACCTCACTAATTCATCTTGTGTCCTAGACTTCCCCACCGAAAGCGACACGCGATGAGTGTTTTTGCGCATGAGACTGGTGCGAGGAGAAAGAAGCTCTCCGGTAGGAGACTGCGGTGCGGTCTGAGAGGCATCCTCAGCGGGCCCATAGAGGTCCAAAAGTGCAGTCAAGAGATCCTGGAATGACTCAATGGGATAGTCGCCGCTACTCTCGAACATCTTTGCGGACGCTGTTTGCACGGCTATGATCTCGGCGCCGAGATTGGCTTTTGGCACGTCCATCGATGCAGTCGAGGCTTCCGCGGAGCTTGTCATGGCCTGGGGATTTGTGGTCAAGCCAATCAAAATATCAGTATCTTGAAGGGTGCCGAGTACAATGGACCAGGCCGGCTGATCTAAAGTTGGCCCAAGCGCGATTCCTAAATTAAGCAAAGCGCGTAAGCATAGGAGGTTCCTGGTGCTCAAAGACACGAAAGTACTCTCTGGAGGAATATTGCTGACTTCGGCAGATACCGTCGAGCCACCGAGAGATACATGAGAGTCCTTCGTTTTATCATCTGTCATTTGTTTGGATTGCAGAGCCGTTGTAGCGGACGCCAGCGTATTCGCAGGCTTGACACTGCCGGTATCCGCTGGCATAACTGTTTTTCCAAGTGTCGTTAAGAAGGCATCCCGGGGTGTCGACAATCTCAGTAGACCAGCCACGTGCGCCAATTTCTGAAAAGACCTAACAAGGTTGTGGTAGAAGTCATCATCAAGGGCTGCGTACAAGAAGGTGGAGCATGCTGCAAGAATGGCTGGCCAGCAGTTATCGATGATGCCAGCACAACTTTTGATGGCCGCGAGCTGGGGATGAGACTCCAAATGAAGAGGGTTGATGGGCACGGGCGACTTCCTGCTGTTAGGCTGTCTCGGGGTGTCAGTCCCTTGTTCGGGACCAGTCACACGACTTCGCCGCTTTTGTTTCAGGTCGGGAACTGTTAATGGTAGAATAAACTTTGCAAGCCCCTCAGCAAAGTTGCTGATGCAGTTCAGTACAAGACTGTAGATATATGTCTCAGGTGGTGATGGCGGCTCAGTCTTATCGAGCAATTCCATATAAGGTGTTCGAACCACGCTCCATTGGCTGCTGATTCCCGGCGCATCGGAGTCGGTGATAGGAACGGATGCTCCGATGACGCCAGCAACACCACCTGCTTCGAGAGTAATCTGCTCTTCAGTGACAGCTCGTGTGTGCTCGGTTCGTAAAGGTACAGTGGACCGGGCGCTGACTCCAATCAGAGAAGGCTTTTCAGAGGCAAGACGAACCAGAGCGGCCATGTGGTCTTTCAAGATGTTCTTCCTTCTCTCCTCCCCGTCGTACAAAGAATATATGAGCCTTACCAGACCTGGCTCAGCATACAATCCTCGAAAAAGCTCCATGCAGAGGACTCGCTTCCACGGTGATGTCCCGTCTGGTTCAAGTAAATGCGTCACAAGCCCGAGCGCCATCTCGCACTCGGCAGGTAGAAGAGACATGTGCCGCTTGAGTAGCACTGAGAGGATGCGAATGGCACGAACAGTCTGGGAGAAAGTATGTCTCTCAGAGAGGATTCGCACCAGCACTGGCATGAGCTTAGCCCGCAAGACCTGAGTCAACTCGGCATGGGTAACGAAAAGCCTGCCACTATTGAGTAGAATGCTTTCGATGAGCTCTAGAGTGAACGGTGTGGACAGAGATTTGATGCGAAGGAAATAAAGCGGTTCACCGTCTACGAGACGGCATAGGTCATCCAGAACCTGATACATCCGTTAGTTGTTCGGTCAGAGAGCTGCAGGTAGGGAGCGGAAGCCTACCCGTAGAGCGTCATACGCAAAATGTCCCACGTTGATGGAATTCCCGTCCACCTTGACAGTAACCGTGGGAGTCGTTTTGTCGAAGTTCTCTGCAATATGATCAGAATCGGCTGTTATGAATTTCATCAACATTCCGAGAATCTTACTGTCTTCAATGGAGACTAGCTCAAATGTGGATACCACAAGCTGTTGGAGCGTTGCTGCGGCTGTGCTTGAGACAGCAGGCATCTTGTTCGTCTGCAGGGCTGCACAAATCTCCAGCGTGCTCACGAGAAGATCTCCGCCCAGATCACTCGCATAATGTTGAAGCAAGGACGGTAAAGTTTGCAATATCTTCAGTTGAATATCCAAGCCTTTCACAGCGTAAGTAAAGCACCGATTGATGGGTTTGATAGAATGACTTACTCATGTTCGCCGTCTCCTTCAGGCCAGAGAGTACATCTCTAAGGCGCTCTGGTGGCAACGACCGGGATGCCACCAGCCTTTGCAGACAGATGACACCGATGCTTGCGAGCTTGGCATGGCGACTATGGCAAGCGATAATGAAGGGATTTACAAACTTGGGTTTGCGCAGAAGGTCTCATGCATTCTTAGCATTCATGCAGTTTGAATTCGATCATAGTCATGGACCAATGAGACACTCACCGGCAGATATCTGAGCCTCTGAGGTTGAAGGTAGTGCCTTCAAGTCATTGAGCGACTCTTCGGCGGCCTGTATTATCGTTAGTCAGCATCAATGTTCGAAAATCCCTTTTTAGACAGTGGAAGCCTACAGTGCGAAGTTCCGAGTTTCTTCTCTTAGACTCTTGGATAAGATTCAAGAGTTCCGCCTGTAGGAACTGGGAGGACATTTCAAACAGGGTGCTGAATCATATCATGGCCGGTGCCAGTCGAGTCGGATAGTACAGTACAGTAAGGTAGCACTAGGCAGATGTGGCTTCATGTGGTTGGATCGCTGATTGGGTCGGTAGAGGAAGAGAAGAGAGGTTGATGAGAGCCTGGGCAAATGGATTGACGCAATATACGTCTTATTAAGGGTGAATGCACATCAATACAAATACATAATTGTCATTTCCAAACAATCAAGCAACGAACGCAATCATCCGGAGTGGCAGCTCTCAGGAGCGCCAAGGCAGCGACGGAGATAAGTTCGAGGCTATCACGTGGCATCGGCTCTGGTTCTTTATCATCACATGACCTATTCTTCAGGAACCCGGCGGGACAAGATACGCAATAGCCAGCAGCCACTGATCCATTGCAGTGCCCATTGTCATTGCCGCAAGTGGGATAAAGTCGTGGGTGCCCCTCCTCCGCCTTCGGTACTGATCTCGTTTACCTCTCCTCAACAACAACCTTCATTTCTCCACAGTTATAATACACAGAACCCTTTCTCCAAGCTCACATACCGCATAATGTCGGCCAAGGTTCCCAGAAACTTCAGGTTGCTCGAAGAGCTCGAGAAGGGCGAGAAGGGCTTGGGCGCAGGTGAGGATACCTTCACAAACAAGGTGGCACATGACACACAGATCACTAACGCACTTTCGTTTCCATCCCTTAGAGGCTTGCTCGTACGGTCTTGATGATGGCGAAGATATGATGATGAGCAACTGGAATGGCACTATCCTGGGCCCTCCTCATGTCCGTCCCTTCCGCATACTTATTCCCGCCACGATACCTCAGCAGTACTGACTCGACAATGAATGAACACAGAGCGTCCATGAGAACAGAATATACAGTGTCAAGATTCACTGCGGTCCTGACTACCCTGACAACCCCCCTACTCTGCAATTCGTCTCTCGGATCAATCTGCCATGCGTTGATCCCCAAACTGGCAAGGTACGCATAGAGCAACGTTGCGTCATAAACAGGGCCAGGAGTATACTGACTTGTCTATAGGTTGATCCCACCAAGCTGCCTTGCCTAGCTCAATGGAAGCGCGAATTCACCATGGAGACTATTCTGCTCGAACTTCGGCGGTACGCCGTGCCTTGACTCCCTATTCCTCCTCTGATACATGCAGGTTCTGACTGTGTCGCAGGTATATGGCTCTGCCCCAGCACAAGAAGCTTCCCCAGCCCCCGGAGGGCTCTAACTTCTGAGCAACGTGATGCTGTGAAATGACTCGGGAACCGAATGAGGAGTATTCTGGTGGGTTTTGTGCGTGCGGTTTCGTTCGCGTCTTCTTTCGTTTTACTTCTTAGAGCGTGTACAGTCTATGCATAACGGCGGGCATGGCGTGGTGTCAATCGAAGCCTAGTCGCAATTCATCGATTCTAGAAATCTTTGTCGGTGTGGACTTTCCTTTCAACCTTGCTACTTAGACTATCCTTTTTATGACATTCATCATTAGCTTTGGGAGTATTCATAGATATTGAGTGAGTAGGGTCGGGCACAGTCATGGTGAGCGAGGTAGCAAATCGGCAGGGCACATGGGCTTCCATTGAGAGCACATATGTCGATGCCAATGAGTCGATTGGCGAGTAGACCGGTGCTACTACATAGAGGAGTGGCTTCACAGTATGGCGAACCAGCAAAAAGTATCAAGACAGGTCGTGCCCGGGATCGAACCGGGATTACAGGAATCAGAATCCTGGGTGCTAACCATTACACTACACAACCAAGGCGGTGAGTTTCGGCTCCATAGCTGTTATCATGAAGATAACCATTATCCCACAGTATCACGCAGCCTAATCTAACCTCATATTGTTCATCAACTTCAGCGATGATAAGTACAGATGAGGAATCATGGTCTTGATATCTGTAAATGTTGGTTTCTTGCCCATACACAGATGATACATTCGCCTTATCTCATACGTTGACACGTGATCGCGATCGATATCTTCTCAGTCACATGCTTCCCGGAATATATTTGACCTCGACATTGAACGCCTTATCTATTTCACCATGCACAGGTTGGTGGTGCCCAACAAATCTTCAATCCACCGATTCACAAGTGCGTACCCCAATAGACAGACCAAGCAATACTTCTTCAGGATGAGACTAATGCCCGATTGTCGCGACAGCCCTAGCGCTCTATCGCGCGCTTCTCCGACAATGCGGCAAATTACCTGAAAACCTACCGGAGCGCAATGCATCCAAGCAGCACATACAACTACGGTTCCACAGATACAAGACCCTCGAAAGTCCGTCGAGGGTAACACATGCCCTGAAAGCGGGATATGATGTACACATAGCCCTCCTTGCTCCATATCCCATCCGGTGCTGACGACCGATTGATTAACGGGCGAATCTACAGGCACTCGACCTGCTCCATGCTGTATCACAAAACAAACGCACCGAAACCGAGCGTCTCAAGTCCCTCATATCCCAGACCGCCGAAGCGCAGGAGCGCCGGTCCGCGATGCAAAGAGAGCTGAGGCGGCTGAAGCCGGTCAAACCCATGAGCGCCATGGAGCTGAAGAAGGAGGCCAACAGGGAGGCCGCGAGGAGGACCATGTCGCGACACCCCGATGCCATACCGGTCCTGTCGCGTCCACGGCCGACCGTCAACGGGATACGTCGCATTCCGAAACTCGTGAATGCGCGCGGCGTCCCCTTCCTGCGGATCATGAAACCCCAACCCGCCATCCTCGGGCACATTATCCGGGGCAAGCTTCGCAAACGAGCCAGGACATTTAGCGTGCGCAAGAAGTTACAGGAAGAGAGGATCTGGGCCCAGGATGAGGACGAGTGGGATCGATTGACCGGCCAACAAGAACGCGAGCCAACGGCCAGGTGGCGTCATCCCGTTGAAGTATGCATTATGGAACTCAAACGACGAGTCTTTGAGATGGAACGCAAGGATCAAGAGCTTGCGACAGCCATGTGGAAGGTCGTCCTCGCGGAACGTGCGTTGGCCGCCAAAGAGGCCGAGGAATGGGCCGCCAAGATGGCGGCTGCGCCAAAAGAGACTACAGAAGGGGGAGAAACGGAGCAGGACTTGAAGTAAGTCGGCCAGCTAGAGCGCGCGAAACTACCCAAGCGACCTACTTGATTGGGATTTTAGGGTACGTGCGTAGACCAGCGAAGGGGATGTCAGGACTAGAGCAATAGCCTTGGCCCGACGGAAACGCCCAGGCATAGCTCAAGTGAGCGAGTCCTCTATGCATTTCTCAGGCGAATATACCCCATTCTATCAGGTCATATCCATAGCATCGAACCATAGCCATATGTGTTTGGAATCCACCCGATGTTCTTGGTCAATACCCGCTCTATGTATGACACATCTGTCAGACTGGACACTTTCATCTCTTTGGGATAAAGGCCCGTCTAGGCGCGACCTGTATGTATACTTGTAAATTGTGGCAAAGAGCACGTCACGCTCCTATGCGGCGATCTTCATCTTCTCTACAGCAGCGGGCATAGCGTCCTCCTCGTCCTCATCAAAGTCTGCTCTGCCAGCCAGACCGCGCTCCCACAGTTGCTTGCCTGTGAGCTTCTTTTCCTCCTTCCCGGGCGCCTTCTTCTGTGCCTTCTTGTCCTCGGCTTCCTTCTCCTCGCGCAGCCTCTTCTCCTCGTCCTCCATCTCCTTCATGAACTTGTCCCGCCACGCCAGGAACGTCTCCCGGTTGACCGCCGTGCCCTGGAACTTCCGGTTCTCCTCCTCCTCGCGCTTGGCCGCCTCCATCTCGCGCTCCGCGTGGATGGCATTGACCCGCTCCGCCATAAGCAGCTCGGCGCTCTCCTTCAGCGCGCTCACCAATGTGAACACCATCGCCATCCCCATGTTCTCTTCGATGGTCGGCTGCAGCGCCTCGAGCAGCCGGTCCTTGTCCTCCGAGACATCGAGTCGGGGGTGTTTCGATGCATTGGGGGCCGCGGTGATGTCGAGTTCCGGGGCAACGTCCGGATAGTCTTCCGGGTATGACACGTGCAGATTCAGAACTGGCGGCTCGAGCTCTTCGACGTCATTGTCGGGGGGGTCCAAGACGATCGATATCCGATAGGAAGTGTCAGAAATATCTGTAGTTGCAGGTTCTTTCGTCAGCGTCGAGATTCCAGAATTACCGCCCAAACCAGAAAAAGAAGGACAGTAGCCTCCGGAGCAACTGGGCTAGTTCGCATACCTGTGATCTCCTCGGGGAAAATGGAGTCGAGCACTTCGCGCTCTTCGATCTGATCTTCGCGACCCATCTTTGTTTTCAATGCGCCGCCGGCGGGGGTGGTGGTGGTGGAGGAGGGGTATTCGGTTTCGTGAGGTGAGTGAAAACTCGTTGCTGAGAGATCGTGGCTCTCAGATTTGATGGTTGACAAGCACTAATAGCAATAGAACATGTAGTGCATGAGAAGAAGCACCAAGACCGCTTCGCTTTTTCCTGATTCGATAATCCTGAGCTAGAGCATAGACTGATCGGTCCCTCTTCAATCCGGCATGGAGTAGAATGTTGCGGTCGACGTGCAAACAGCACAAACAGATAAGGCAGGGCCCGGCCGTCCCAAATTTATCGGGCCCGAAAAAGGGAATTTCTATGCTCCGCCTTGGAAAAAAAGATCCAACAAGCTCCAATTGCCTTACTTTTCTTCCTCTTACCTGAGTATTCTTTTTTCTGCAATCCCGTTTCTTACATCTTATGACCTATCAATCGACGATCACACACTCATTTTAGACCTATCACATTAACATGGGCAAGTCCAGGCCTCAGAAACAGAAGAAATCCTCCAAATCTCGCGAGAAGTCCCTCCTCGGCGTCGGTGGTTCGGTGAAGCAGTCGCAGAGCAAGATGAACGAAGACCCCACCCAGCTCCTGGACCAGGCGACGATACTCATCCAGACCGGCCAGGCCGATGCCGCTCTACAATTAGCGCAGCAAGCGCTCGACAGCTCGCCCGCGGGATCCCCCTCATACCTGTCGGCCTTGATCGCCGTCGCAGAGATCTACGTCGAACTCGGAGATATCGACACCGCCAGAGCTCATTTCCTGCGCGCAGTCGAAGCCGATCCCAACGGGACGATACCGGAGTCTCAGGGCGGAGGCGCGGAGAAGTTCTTGTGGCTGGCCCAGTTGAGCGAGGAAGGCGGAAAGGATAGTGTCCAGTGGTTCGAGAAGGGTGTCTCCTCGCTCCGACATGCGATCCAGCAACTAGAACAGAACCCCGGCCCTAAGGAGGCGGCCGAGTTGCTGGAGAAGAAGCGCAAGATGGCCAATGCCCTATGCGCCGTGGCGGAGATCTACATGACCGATCTTTCGTAAGTTGAATCCCCCCCTCCCGGCTCCTTCCCATCCCGCGGCGGCTGCGAGGAGGAATTTCTTGTACTGACGTAATGTAGCTGGGAGGAAGATGCAGAGAACCGTTGCGAGACGCTCATCACGGAGGCTCTCCTCGTTGAACCCAATGGACCCGAGGTCCTCCAAACCCTGGCTTCCATTCGAATCTCGCAGCTACGGACCGACGACGCCAAAGCAGCCCTGAGAAGGAGTCTCGAGATCTGGAAGGACCTGCCCCCGGAGGACCCTAGCATTCCAGACTTTGCTACCAGAATCAGTCTTTCTCGTCTCTTGATGGAGGTCGCGCTGGAGTTTGAGGCGTTGGAGGTCTTGGAGCGGTTGATCCTGGAAGATGATCAGAGTATCGAGGCTTGGTATCTAGGCGGATGGTGCTTATATCTCCTGGCCGGGAAGCAACAAGCCCCTGCGGATGACGAGGAGGAAGCCGATACCCCAGAGGCCAAGCGCCTTGCATCGCTTGTTGCCAGTCGCGAATGGCTCAAGCAGGGTCTGGCTCTCTATGAGATCCAGCAGTACGAGGATGAGAGGCTCAAGGAGCATGCGCTCGAACTGGTTCAGGAGATGAACCAGGAACTGGGCGAGGAGATAGAGGACGAAGAGGCTGAGGGCCAGGAGGGTGAGGAAGGCTGGGAGGATGAGGAGATCGAGGTGGACTCAGACAGTGACCACGAAATGGCTGACTCCTGAATACAACAAACGCTGCATGTCCATGTTACGAAATCCCCCCTTTCCCTGTCATGATACCACCTCAAAAGTCATGTTATACTTGCTCGAAATACCAACGAATCTAATAATACCTTGGATGAGCAACTCATGTTGAAACGAATTCACTTAAATCCTCTTGGTTCATTGTCCATTCCATTATCGTACGGACCCGGATAAAGTAGTACCCGAGCGCGTTTCCCTCCCCTCCCCCCCCCCGGAGATAATCAAAGACAATTTTGTCCCGGCCAAGCACCTTCGGGGTGGCAAAACTGAGCTCAATGTGAGTTGGGGAAAGAAAGGGTTGTTTTAGCGGTCGCTGGAAAGTGCCCCCCCCCCCCCCCCCCCTTGTCTTCCGTCACAGGATGGACCTGGAATCAGCGCCCAGCGGGGAAAGCTCGTCGTCGTTACAGACCCCAGTGGCCGCCGTCGCCGTTAAGATGACTTCCGCGGATGTAATCGACAAGCCAGCCACGGCGAACGAGGACCCCACCGCCACGGCCACCAAGGGCGAGATGTCTCAAGCCGAGTTCGAGACCGACAGTGACGCTTCGGGCGAGGAGTGGGAAACCCAGTCTCTCTACGAGGACGCCATTGAAGTACTGCGGGACGAGCAACTTCGCGATGGAGGTAAAGTCAAATCCATCTATACAAATGCCTTCCCAGGCGCCCTCTCGCTGTGTGCAGCCCAAAGCCCCACCCGCTGACTGCGCCGCGCTCGAGTATCTATAGTCCCCGATGCCTGTACTTTGGAGGAGGCTATCGCGTACCGAAAGCGCCTCCATGAAATCGGCAAGGCTGCGTTCGTCGAAGAGACCATCGCAAAGGAGACGGTCACTGCGAAGAAGCTGTGCACAGCGTTCGGCATCCAGCCCCCGGCGTTCCTCGAAGGTGCCCCTGACGAGGCCTACCACCCTCTCCTCGCGATCGCGATCTCGCGCGAGTTCTCGAGACGTCCGAAGCTCCCACAGTATAATACCATCGATGATGCGGTGAGGTTGCTGAAGGAGTCCAAAAACATCGTCGTGCTGACCGGCGCTGGCGTAAGTCATCCCTCGCCCCCCTCCCCCTGGGGTGCACCCTGTTTTTGTCGCGCAAGAGTCTGCGATATACTGATGCGGATCTCGTAGATATCCACCAGTCTTGGGATCCCCGACTTCCGCTCCAAGGATACCGGGTTATATTCACAGCTCGCGCATCTGGGCCTGAGCGATCCGCAGGAGGTGTTCGACATTCATGTGTTTCGCGAAGACCCCAGCATCTTCTTCTCGGTTGCCAAGGACATTCTCCCCACGGAAAAGAAGTTCTCGCCGACGCACGCGTTCATTCGCCTGCTGCAGGACAAGGGGAAATTGTTGACCAACTACACCCAGAATATCGACAACATCGAGGCCAATGCCGGTGTCGCCGCGGAGAATATCGTCCAGTGTCACGGCTCGTTCGCCACCGCGACATGTGTCAAGTGCAAATATCAGGTAACCGGTGACGAGATCTTCGACGAGATCAAGAAGGGTGCCATCCCTCAGTGTACCGCGTGCCGTGACCGAATCGCAGAGGAGACGGGAGCGAAACGCAAGCGCAGCACCACTGGTGTGCACCGAAATCGCAAGGACGACTGCGGCGACAGCTCGGATGATGAATACGAAATCCCGTCTCCCGGTGTTATGAAAGTGAGTTTGCGCGCTCTCTTCTTTTTTTTTTGGAATTCTCTTCGCCCGGCGTCTTGCTGACAGTCAAACTAGCCCGATATCACGTTCTTCGGCGAGGATCTTCCGGATGAATTCGGTCGTCGCCTGCTTCACCACGACCGCGAACGGGTGGATTTGGTCATTGTCATCGGAACGTCTTTGAAAGTGGCGCCTGTCGCAGAGGCACCCGGCGTGTTGCCTCGTCACGTGCCTCAAATCTACATCTCTCGGACTGTAAGTCCTACTTCCTTGAGTCCAAAATCACCCCCAGGCTGACGGATCTGATAGCCCGTGACGCATACGGAGTTCGATATTGATTTGCTGGGTGACTGCGACGTGGTGGTCTCCGAGCTCTGCCGCCGGGCCGGGTGGGAGCTCAAACACGAGATGATCCCGGAGGATGAGAAGGTGGAAATTTCGCAGGTTGAAGGTTACGAGTCACGACATGTGTTTCGGGTTGTCGGCGCATAGCGGCGGTGTTTTGTGTGTTGCTAGCCATCCCATCTCTGGCTCTCAGCTGGTTTCGAGAAACGGCGTATATTGGGTTGGTTTTGCATTGTGGGTTTTGATATCACCAAAAGGGAAGGACAGGCTGTAAAGATTGATGGACGAAGACATACAATTATTGTTATCATCAAGCATGTTTTATTATCTTTCTGCGGGCTTAGAATGTATCTATTCTTGTTTCCGGCTCCGGCTCCGGTTTCATAGGAGACCTGTTTGTTACAATTGTTACCATGATAAAATATCATTACAAGTGCTTGCATAGATTTTTACCTCGTACACAAAACATACATCCAGTCTCACTCAAGAGTGTAGAGTAGCATTGTGATTCCTCCAATGTTGAGCAGGGCTGGACTGTTGGAAGGTGTCGACGACAAACGGGATCCTCAAATCCAGCGGATCATGAGAAAAAAAATCAATTCCGCATCTCTCACTGACCAGACAATCACATCGACGCTCCCAATCAGATAATTGACCAGATTGCAAGTCTTTCTTGTCTGTGATCTTTCTCCGCAGTTGCAGTAGTGCAGTCATTGAAATAGTTCGACCAGACAGCTGTGGCGCGGGGCCCAGCGCAAGCCCTCCGACGATTACGATGGAATACCTGATCCGCTTCGCCCAGGTCCACGAGTCTTTCCGACAGCCTGAGATCCAGGCGCTGGCCGACTTGGCCGGCATTGATCTCGAGTTCGTCTACTACGATAAATATGTATGTTTCATTCTGATGAACCTGTCCTACACTCCTCTTCCATATCACCTACAGATTACCACCAACATGATTTTCTCTATCTTCCCCCCCGCATCAGCACAAAAAGCTTAAAGCAGGCCAAAATGAACTAATGAATCCATCCCCAGTCCCCATTCTGCGTCATCAGAGTCCCCGATGAAGCCGCGGCGCGCACGCTCATCGCCCGCAGCATCCTAGCGAAGGACATCTTCGAGCTCTGGGGCTATGGCACCAACCTGGACGAGGTGCACGCGGATGTCCGCAGGCGGACGACCGAGGCCCGCTGGGCCGACTTCCAGACGGACTCGTTCCGCTTCACGGTCGACAGCTTCGCGGGCAAACGCAGCAACGACAAGAAGCGCGAGATCATCCAGTCGTTCTCCTTCCTCGGCTTCCAGGGTCCCATCCGCATGAAGAGCCCGGACCAGGACTTTTGGGTTCTGGAGGACTACGGCTGGGATGTAGCTGCCACTGACGCGGCCGCTGCAACTCCCGAGGGACGCAGCAGCACCCCCATCTTGCGCCCCGTTCCAGAAGGCCAGGAACCCAAGCGGATCTGGTTCGGCCGCTGGCTGGCCAACAGCAGCCGCGACGTGATCAACAAGTACGACCTCAAGAAGCGGCGGTACATCAGCACGACGTCCATGGACGCGGAGCTGACGCTGATCACGGCGAACATGGCCCACGCGGCGCCGGGCAAGCTGTTCTACGACCCCTTCGTCGGCACGGGCAGCTTCCTCGTGGCGATGGGCCACTTCGGGGCCCTGAACTTCGGGTCGGACATCGACGGCCGCAGCTTCCGCGGCAAGGAGATGATCGAGCGCGGCGGCACCATGGGCGTGCTCGCCAACTTCCAGCAGTATGAGATCGTCGGCCAGTTCCTGGATGTCTTCTCCTCCGATCTGACGAATACGCCGCTGCGCGCGCAGCCGTTCCTCGACGGGATCGTCTGCGATCCGCCGTACGGGGTGCGCGAGGGGCTGAGGGTGTTGGGGAGGCGGGAGGGGCTCCGGAACGAGGAGGTGATTATCGATGGGGTGCCGGCTCATCTGTATGTTTTTCTTTCTTTTTTTTGGTTCTTCTGCTTGAGTGGTGGTGACGCTACGGGAGAAGAGCCTCGTATCGCTGATCGTGTGTATACAGTCGACCCGGTTACATTGCTCCGAAGAAGCCCTACGGCTTCGAGGCCATGCAGAACGATATTCTCGACTTCGCCGCTCGGACTCTCGTTATCGGTGGACGCATGTGCATGTGGATGCCTACCGCCAACGACGAGGATCTCGAGCTAGACACGCCCATGCACCCGAACCTGGAGGTTCTGAGTGTGTCCGTTCAGCCCTTCTACAACTGTGAGTGGAACCGTCTGCCTTCTTCCAACAGCATATCATGGGTCGAGGACAACAGCACTAACAGCATCTCAGGGTCCCGTCGACTCATCACCTACCGCAGACTCCCCGAAGGACAAGTATCGGATGTGTCCAAGGGACGCAGCAGACTCGACTCAGAGGGAGTCTACGCTGATCAATTGAATTCCTTCCGAAAGAAGGTACGTTGCCTTTCATCGCCTCCCCGGGCTTATCAATATAGGATCCACGTATACTGACTTAAGGAATAGTACTTCACCAAAAACCCGCAGTACGACAACAAAGAGCCCAGATCAGGCAGCGCCACGCCGGCCCCATGATACCAGAATAGCCTCTAGTATGCATTTATCTTAAAAATCCATCATGTCATGCTCATCATACTCACACCAAGAACCTGGAATGGATGCAAAAATAAATACCATATAAACCTGGCGATAAAAACCCAAACCCATGTCTATTCTTTACACAGCACTGTACTGTACCTGTAGACCAACAAAACCTAAAGCCTCCCCCTGCCCCCTCCCCCAAACCCCACCTCCAAATCCACCCCCTCCACCTTCATGACCTTAACAACCTCCCTCGCCAACTCCTCCCTCAACCCGCGCGCCAACGCCTCCCCCTCCTCCTCATCCAACTCCTCCCTCTGCCCGCGCCCAAACATCACAAAACTCGGCCGCGCAGCAGCACCACCCGACGCACTGCCCAAATCCGGTCGCGGAATCACATGAAAATGCACATGCGGAACCTGCTGCGCTGCTCGGACGCCTACAAGCCCCCATTGTCCGGGTTAGCTCTGCTGTGCTGTGCTTACGATGCCCCCCCCCCGGCCCACCATCGGTAAACTGAAGAGCAGTGAGAGTAAAACGCACCGTTATTCTGCACCACATTCCAATGCCAGTCCGCTGCTGCTGCGTCCGCCCCGAAAAGCGTCCGCATCACTACCCGCGAGAGGATGGGGAGCCATTGGCCGATCTTTTACTCGGGGTCAGCTTTATCCAGTAAGTAGTAGTACACTACCCACGCGGGACTAGTTCAATGTGGTTCTGGTTCGATGATGGGAGGTGGGTAAGTCAGTAGGTAAAGGACTAGACTAACCTCGCGACTAATGCCTACCCCGACATCGCCCAGTTTCTCATAGTGCTCCCGCGTGACAAGGAGGAGATGGCCCCTCGTGAGGGGCATGATGTCCAGGAAGGCGAGGAGGGATGGGGTCGAGAGGATGAGGTGGGCCGTACTCGTACTCGTACTCGTGCTCGTTGTCGTATCGAGATCTGAATGTGGGGGGACCGACGGGGTCGCTGGGTTGGGGACATTCTTGGGATTTGGGTCTTGGTGGTGTTGGCGGAGGAACGTTGTCGGGGGGAGAGGCGGGTATGTGTGGGCGATGGTGCAGAAGGGGCATGGGGATGAGGAGGATGGAGTGGATTCCATCTTGCTTGATTCAAATTCCGAGTTGGGGTTGATTAGATTAAGTTGACTTGGTACAGTTGTTGTATGATGAGTGGAGGTGAGTGCCACCGGCGGGTGTGGGATATAAATATATAGTTCGTGCTGATTTGTAGCTGCAGCTGTTGCTGCTGAGATTGAGATTGAGATGCCAGGAAAGCTTATCCGATTGCTTTTGCGACGCCACCCAGAATTAATGGAAGTTCCAGATTTCTCACGGAAGGCTCTGGTTATGCAGGAGGTGGTTGCACATTGGTGAAGAATGGAAAGTAGGAACAACAATAGAATGTGGTGGCTGGCGGGGGTGCCGAATCCCTGCCTCGGAACCTCGGTCCTACAAACGCTGCCATCGCCAGAGCCTTTTCTACCAACAGGAAACCAACTAACTCAAGTATACTCTTCAATGAACTTATCTCGAATAGTCATTCCATAATTACCATTAAGCAAGCTGCTCTGATTTTCTACCCGTACACGTAGGAACTTCAAGTGCTTACCCGGTCATTATTCAGGACATGTGCAATTCATGATCAAGCCGCACTGATCAATTATCCGTCCAGGTCTTGAGCATACATACCTCCACAGCAGAGAGACCTAGCACGCACTGTGGAAAAAGAAAGATGCAAGACAAGGAGATTTAGCAGTCGCTGTAAGCAAAAGTAGAACCAAAAATGAAATAGAGAGTTGAAATAACACTGGGGGTAGAACCTCCGACCTTGATGTGTCCGATGCACATAGCACCCAGGGTCAAGAAGGAGAATATTTAAGTTAGGTATCAGCAGGTACAACCCAGGACACGACCAAGAAAACAAGCCGAAGGAACTAGAGAAACTCGAACACAAGGCAGAGGAGAAAAGCGCCAGACACCCTTGAAGCGAACAATGCAAACATCCGCAAAGCGAAAACAGGAAAATGCCGTCGTAAACATATGCAAGAGGTGCCCTTATACCATCAGAAATAAAATACCATCATATGGATTAACCAACTCCTATTGTGGGTCGTTTTGTCGGATGCCGGTTTAGTATCGTCACGAGGAGACGCTCTTCTTACTCCTTTTCTTGAATGAAGTGGTAGGGTTCTGACATAGAACTGGTGATGTAAAGTTGGTGGTACTTCTTCGCCCATTGCCGGGTAAGGATGGATGCTAGAAGGACTGTCAGTTATCGTAGGATGGGCTCAACTGGAACAATGTGTGCTCACCCTTCAAGAACTTCTTGCTAGCGTATTTCTTGAAGAACGCATCGTGGGACACGGGTCTATGAAGGTAATCGATCATCAGCCGGAAGACGGGGTCGATTTCCTCTTCCGTGTATCCAGCATAATGAGCCAAGGTGGCGTCCTACTATGCGTTAGTGTGTGGAGTAGATAGCTGATGATAGCGAAACTTACCCAAGGCCCCCGAGCGAGGATAAGGCGAGCCAGGTACATTGCAGCGGCCGCAACATGGCTCTGGCGGTACTCCATAAATCGGTGATCCAAAAGGCTAATTTCCATGAGGTACTTTCCAAGAGTACGAGTTTGAATGTCGTAGTTATCTGCTTTGGAAATGCGGCGGAGGAAGTTCATCGGGTTGGGATAGCTCATGTTGTATTCCAGCGTGGCGAGAATGTGACGTTCAGCGTCCAAGATCTCCTTGTCCGAAAAGGTCTCGTCGGCGATGTGGCTGAAGTTCGCGACGTGGGGCGAGAGTACTTCCTCGTACTTGGATGCGATAAACATAGCAGCGACACCAACCAATTGAAGACGGTCCAGAGCGACCACTTCCTCAGACAAGAAACGGTCGATGATGTTCACAGCAAGGAACAGGGTTTCGGGGAGTAGGCGGAAACGAGTGTGAACTTCGATGAGCCAGTCGACAAGGATACCACGCATTTTCCATTCCAAGTCGGGCTGATGGTCGATGTAGTCAGGATTGGGCAAGGTCTCCTCCTCAAGCACTGCAAGATAGTCGAAGATCTCAACAACGTATTCGGCGGCCATCAACGGGTCATCGAGGTCTTCAGCGTCCAGATCATCCACAAAATCTTCGGTAGGCTTCTCCAAAACCTTGGGATCAATAGGTGCCTGGGCGTTCTCATCCCGAACCTGTTCCGTCACTGGCTTCTTTTCCTTCTTTTCGACAGTGGCCTTCTTCAATGGTGGTTCCTCTGGCACTGCCTCTTTCTGCTGTAAGTTGCGGGTCGTGGTCCGTCTCGGCTGATTTCCACCAATTCCAGATCCGCTACCAGGGCGTTTCGGTTCTGCGGGCTGCTTCTTCGCGGTGTCACTCTTGACTCCAGGGTTGGTGCGTGCCGGGTTCGTTTTGGTGGGTTTCTGAACGCCTCCGGTCGGCAGGTTGTTCTTGGGTGCCAAGGGAGCTTTAGTCACAGCCGGTTTCTTCGCCTCCTTGACTTCGCCATTCTCTGTCTTGCCAACATTGCTCACATCTCCCAGAGCTGCACGTCGTCTCGTAGTTCCGGTAGTGGTGGCGGTGGCAGCCTTCTTGGTCTGTAGGGTGGGTTTCTTAGTGGCGGCGGCAGTGGTGTGGGCGTCACCGGACGACAGGGCAGCAGCCTTGGCCCGGGTCAGGCGCGTCGACGGCCCGTTCTCATCGTTCTCGTTCATGGCACCTCTCGTGCGGAGGCTTCTGGCCTGCAAGGACATTAGCATGAGAAACTCCGTACACGCGAGGCAGAACGCCAGGGTGCAGTTTCCGCACGGTTGGTGAACAGTCGACACAACAGACGCGTCACTTGGTCAGAGGATCCTTACCGGAGGCATATTGTGAGAAAGGAGAAGGGTGAGAGGAAAGACTAAAGAGGAGCAAAACAAGTTATGAGGTGCCTATAGCAACTGCGAGCTCCCGGTTAGCTAGTGTCTAGTCAGCATTCCCGAGGAGATTACCCCGGTGGAGCTCAAATACCTGGAGACTGGGAGACGGGAATCGTACGTACCACGCGTGATTATTCGCCCAACCCCAATATATTAGGCTCAATGCAAGGCTCTGCAAGCTATCAAGCCAGATATTTGAGAGTTATCCGGGTAATGCAAGTTCCAGATAGTCGCATATAAGACCTTGTTGACGTTATTGACAAGGTCTGAGGGTTCGAGTTGAGTCGGTCACGTAAATTTCGCGCTGAATTCGAGGCGTACGGTCGGTCGGGCGCGAGAAGATGGATGTCGACGTGTAGATTATCGACAATGACACGAGAAACAGGCGAGATTTGGCGGCTTCAATGGGTGGTGTCGAGCCCCCTTGGAGGAGATGATGTTTGATAGAGAAGTGTAGGTCTAGGGAAAAGGTGGTCGAGAGGTGACAGGGCAAAGGCTATGTTTGGCCCTACTCTTAGCGTGGAAAAGCCCGGCCAAGATGGGAAAAGATGCCCCACTCCCGTAACAGCACAACCCAGTTGGCAATGGGCAATTGCAGATGATGCCGGAGCTGTACCACGTATGTATTGTTGATGCAAAGTGAATCGATGGATAGATGGGTGGACAGGTAGTCGATATTTATGTTTATGTTTATCTTGATGTTTATGTACGAGGGGAGGTGAGGGGAGGGGAGGGAGAAGTGAGTGAGTGATTTAAGGTAGGAGTGGAGAAGAGATGGAGGACCAGGTTTTGGGGGGGGGGGGGGG